AAAAATAACCCTATTTGTTCACATGTTTTTATTTGAAAAGGGGTTTGTTGTATATGTTGATAACTTAAATATTATCGAAACTCCCGAAGAGATTCTAAGTGTCGTAAGTTACCTAAAAAGAGAATTTGATGTGAATATCTTATGAAAATAAAATATTATCTCGACCTACGGTTCGAGCACTCGGAAAATGAGATTTTCATTTATCGATCAATTTATATAGAAAAATGTTCTACAATGATTCTATATAAAGATCATTCATTGACTAGCCCAATGGTAGTTCATTCACTTGATATCCAAAAAGACCTTTTTCGACCTCGAGAAGATAACGAAGAACTACTTAGTCCCGAAGTACCATATTTTAGTGCCACCGGTGCATTGATGTATCTTGCTAATAATACTCGACCTAATATAGTCTTTTCTATAAATTTGTTAATAAGTCATAGTTCCGTTTCAATATAGAGACATTGAAATAAAGTTAAACATATACTACGTTATATTCGAGGAATAATTGATATGAGCTTATATTATTCCAATAAATCAAATATAAGATTAATTGGCTATGCGGATGCGAGTTATTTATCTAATTTACACAAAGCTCGATCACAACTCGGTTATATATTTACATATGGAGATACAACTATATATTGGCGTCCTATGAAGCAAACCACAACTATAACATCTTCAAATCATGCGGAAATATCAATTCACGAGGCAAGTCAAGAATGTGTTTGGCTAAGATAAACGATCCATCATATTCGAGAGACATGCGGTTTATCTATCGACAAAAGAAGTTCCAACAATATCATATGAAGATAATGTCGCTTGCATAGTTTCATTAAAGGAAGAATACATCAAAGTGATAATCTAGCAGATTTGTTCACTAAGGTGTTACCTACCATAACTTTTGAGAAGATGATTCACAAGATTGGAATACGTTGTCTTAGAGATCTTAAATAATGCCTTCAACAGGGGGAGACCAAAATGAAGATTAATGTGTGCAAGGAATATTGTACTCTTTTTCCTTCACTAGGATTTTTTTCCCAATGGGTTTTTTCCTAGTAAGGTTTTAACGAGGCATGTTCCTTGTACAATGGACATTCGAGGGGGAGTGTTATGAAATAATGAATGTCCATCATCATGTTCATCCACTTTTCATATCCCCACTACTCATGATTCTTAATATGATTCAATTCATCATTCAATATGAGAAATTGAAAGGGTGATGCAATTGATTATTCATAGTCCCTTTCAATTCTCTCCTAATTTTGAAGCCTATAAATAGGCTTGATTGTTCATTAGTTGGTGTACAAGTTTCCTAGAGAGAATAAGAGAAACTTTGAAGTTCTTATCACTCATATTCACATTATAGTGATTTCATTTTCTTGTCATCATTTTCTTCAATTCTCCTATCATTTCTATTTATTTTATAACAATAAAAACATAATTGTAATAGACGACAAAATTTTTAAATACGACTAATTGAAAAAATCTTAATATAAATATGTAATTTTTTTCTTTTTTTTCTTTTCAAATTTCGGATCACAACGTAACGTAATTCGATAAAATAAAATATAAAATATATTAATTAGAAAAAAAGGAGTTTTAAGAAATAAAGCTTCTACTCAATTAGTTTGTAAATTTTTATATTTTTGGCAAATCCCCAATAATTGTTGTGGCTAAAAGAGAGAAAGAAAACTAACAAAATTCCCACTACTTTTAAGCTTGTTCAAAGCAAATCTCTATCTTTTACATTCATAAAAGGACATTTAAAGGATCAAACAAGACCTAATTGTTATTATGTAGTGGCATACTTTATCGTTGTTTATGATATAGATAACCATGTAACTTGAGATATATGAAAGCTTTCAATGGAAAGCAGGGCAAAACAACTATAAAATGAAAACAGTCAAACTTTTACGAGATAAACTACTATCAATTAATTTAAGTGTCAAATCATTGTAATATTTTCTAGCCGGCGTGCATGGATAAGTTCCTTAGTTTGATACCCACCTGCGTTTTGCTTGTTCAATTCCTTTAGCACATAATTGGTCGATGCTTCAGAATAATTTAATTATAACAACCACTCTAACTAAACTTAATAATTTTCATACCATAGTTTGTCTTTACCTTATTTCCTATCAATTCTCCATTTTTGGAAGCACCAATAATCTTATCATTGAGATCACCAAATGCCAATAAGTACAAAATCGGTTAGGATTCGTCTATGCAAAATCATAGACGACATTCTAAAGGAACAATTTAAGGGTTTGGAAGTTGAAGTACAAGACAAGATAGGCCTCCATTAACATTGGATCCTACACGACTAAGCCAACTTAGTAGTAAAAGCTAGTAGAAAATATGCCCAAAAAGTTTGGATGCTAAGTAGATTTTGAATCGACAAAGTCAGGAAACCATATTATTAGCGGTTAAAAGGCTTGTAGAAAATATGCCATAAATTCACACAACAAAAACAGACTTTAGCTCAATGATTCGTTCACTATTGCCTCAAAAGGCAAACCATTAATTAAACACAACGCAAACCTAACATGAAAGTTAGAAATCTCTAGTAGAAGAACTAATGTGGCCCAACTTAATTAGGAAGGAATTAGGAAAGGTTCTTTATGAAATAAATGGCATCCAATTCACTGAAAAAAATAGCCTCCTAGAGAACAGGTTAAAATCACTATTACCTTACCCAACCATAAGTTTCAAAATTTTATGACCCAAAAATCAAAAACTCTACCTAATACCGTACCAGTCTTGACAAACTTCCACATGTGGACCTACAACCTTCTTAGATTATATGCTTCCCCAAATGTTTACAAATTGATCGTTGGCCAAAAAAAAAAAAAAACCAAAACCAATCTCATTATCTCTCATTCGCCTTCAAAAAAACAAAAAAAGATAAGAAAAAACAAGGGGGCGTGAAAATTGTGAAAGACACCAGTACCATTTGTCCACTTTTGTTTCCTTCCCTCCTGGCTATCCCATCTCATATACTGTACGGCCCTCTTGGGGACCCCACACATCACGTGGCCCCCACTCTTAATTTTTCTTTTCTAGATGCTACCTTCCAAAAAGAGTTTCCCCAAAATTAGACTAATTTTTCAACTTCTTTCACATCCCAATTTCAGCCATGTACATGTCCAAATCCTATTTCCCACCCCAAAGCACACACAAAAACAATAAAAAAAATCTCTACTTGTCGTGTGGACTTGAAAGTTAAACGGTGAGGAGTTTTCCTGTGTCAGGTTTTCCTCTGGAAACCCAATATCTTTTTCACAAATTCCAAGAACAACAAAAAATAATACTACTTCCTAGTAGTAGTATTATTTCTCTTTCAAAAAAACTCAAAACTGGGTATGGTTTCTCAAAAGATGTGAAATTACTCTGATTTAAGGCTCGCGTGTAGAGTTATACCAAAATCAAGCAAGTTTTTGATGTCCCTCTCCTCCCTTTTCATTTTATTTTCTTTCCCCAGAAATCCTTAACCTGAAAAAAGAAAAACATGAAAGCAAAAGGTGGCAGTAATCCACAGAGGCCGAAACAGAAAACAAAACGACAGTTTTGTGAGGCTAAACGACGCCGGATTGTGATAGCCGGGTGGGTTTGCCTTGAAAATGATAAAACTTTGTTGGTCCGTCCTAGAAAGCAGAAAGCAGCAGGCAGGCAATGGCAAACATTTCCCATTGGAAGCCTGCTTGTTCCCACTTCACACCTTCCAAACACATCCATACATGGAAGGGATGGGATGATGGGACCCAATAACGTCTCTCTATCTATTAAAAAAAGATGCACACGTGCACTTGATGCCCATTTTGAAAGCTGAGCCACTTAAGCTCCGTCATTTAATTAAATTAACGTCAACATGTAGTTTTACGAGAGAGCATAATTTGAACCAAAAATGCAATCGATTAAACCAAAAAAAAAAAAAAAAAAAGGCTATATTTTCTTCAATACAAGAAATGCTGTATCAATACTTTGTATGTAATAATAGATATACGATACTATTATTATCATCCAAGTTCAAATTTAATCACCCTTTAGCTCAATAAGTTTAATTATTATTTATGTTCTATAGGTATTTCTTAGTACCATAAAAAGTAGTTCAGCATTGTCCCTTTTGATTTTGCAGGACAAACAAGGCTTTTTTTAGTTTAGTTTTTTTTTTTCAAAAGCCGGCCAATATATATAAAATTTTTAAAAGTTTTCGAAAACTATTTGAAATTTTTACAATAATGATAATAGTAACAACCATAGAAAACATCATAGTTAAAAATTATAATATTTCGTTAAAAAAATTGTTAGTTCAACACTAATCAAAGTGATTTTAAATGAATTTTTTGTTAATATTTAAATTTTAAATCCTGACGTCCTATTAGATAAAAGAGATTAAATTTTATTATATACGATATCTGAAAAAGAAGAAAAACATAATTTCTGACGGACACGATGATTTCAGTGGAGCTTCCGGAGGCTGCGTACAAATTGTACAAAAGATTGGAGAATCATTTGGCCAACGAATCTGTTCCAGTACGTGCAGACTAGACTAGACTACACTGTCCACCTCTGCTACCCACACACATTGTCTTGCGAAGAAGATGCCCTTTAGCATTGGCAAATTTTGAATGCTACCAAACATGAATTCAAAATGCTCCCACTGAAATATTTAGAGGTTGCATAACAATAACTAATTATTAATGGCAAATACCGAAAAACTGAACAACAAACAGCAGTTAGTTAAGGTTCCCATTCATTCAATTATTTATACAACCATGAATTTATATAGAAATTTTAACTTCTCTTTTCATTTTTTTTTTTTTTTGAAGTCGTTTATAAGCTTTGTTTCATAGTACAACTCGTTTTCCCATATACATACATTTTTCAATTTCTCCAATTTTTATAATAACTATCAGAAATAAAGTAAGAAAAGAAAAACCCCAACCCCGAGAAACCCTTCGAAAAACAATATGTATATATTTCTGATGTCACTTTTATCATCACCGGGAGACCGACTCAGCCAATTTCCCAATTTTCTCAACTAGTTCAGGCGACAATTTCTTAACCGGTTTCCTCTCCTTCTCTGGTCTAAAATCAAACCCCAAAGCATCCGACACTTCCTCGGAGCTCCACCCAGCTTTACGGAGCGAGTCCGAGAACCGATCCACTTTCAAAAGCAAAGCATCTAGTACCGCTTGATTATCCAAAATTACCATTTCACCCTCAAAGAAACCCGACGCTGATACTTCAACCATTTCCTCTATGTCGGACTCCCTCCACCCGCCTTCTCTCAAAACCGACCCGATTTGCTCTATATAATCCCCCACCCATTTCGGAATTTCGGATCTTGACATCTCAAAAAACCTTTCAGGCGACGAAGATCCCGACGAAGAGGATGCTGAATTCCTCCTTCTCCTGTCCACCGCCGCGTCACTCCAAAACTCTACCCATCTCGGTGTCCTCGACCCGTTTACCAGACCCGTATCCAAACTCCTCCGCGAGAGATTATTGGATAGCCCAGAAGATTTCTCACTAACAGACTTCTGCTTTTTTATTACAATCGGGTCAGATTCGAAGCTCCGGAAGAGAGATTCACGGTCAAAAAAATCTGATAGATCCAACCCGCAACAAAAGATCCGACTCTCATCGATAAAGAAAATTGGGTTACCCGCTAATGATGGCTGGCAAGGAATGTAACAATGGTTAAAAATGGGAATCAAAAGAGGGGCTCTTTTAAGTGAATTTCTCGCGACCCGTAAAGCTTTTTCAGGGTCAGATGGTCTAGGACCCCAAGATTTCGACCACAAAGTGTTTCGGGCAATTTGGAAGCAAATAGCAGCTATAGGGAGGTCAAGAGAGGCGCGTAGGTGGAGGCGAGCACCTGCAGAGCGCCAGTCTGGGAATCCTGGGCCGACAGGGAGACCGGCAGAGAGGACGGCGCGGAGGTCAGGAGGGAAAGCAAAGCCGAATTCAGCTTCGGATCGGGCAAATTCAGATTCAGTAAGACCAGGTTGCACTTGTATACCCGAATTGCGCAAATGGGTAATTACTTTATCAGCTAAGGAAGAGAAAGAGAGGAGGCTGTTGCGAGGCGGGAGTGAAGTGGTTGTTGATGGGGCAGCCGCTCGAGCTGAGAGACGGCGTAAACCGGCAATATGGGCCGGATTTAGGCCGGTCATTCTCCGGTCGACGTCTACCATTGTCGTTTTGTTTCAAAGAAAAAACAAGAAAGCCGTGTATAAAACTAGAATTTTTTGCTTTACTTGGTTTTGTGTTTTGTTTTTGACGAAAGGGGAAAGGAGTTTGGTGTTTTGTTTTGAGAATATTTTTTGGTTTATGTGCAGTTAGTGGAGTGGAGAAGTAGAAAGGAGTGAGATGATATGGTGAAGTGGAAATGGAGAAAACAGAAAAGTGAAGGAAGAGGCGGTGGATGGCTTTTAGAGAGAGAGAGAGAGAGAGAGAAGGAGCTTTGTTGTGTAAAGAAAGGTGCGATATTTATAGCTGTTAAAGGGTGGAGCCTACTTGTTCCAGATTTTGGTTTAGTCAGGCTTTTTCCTTAGGTTTCCTTAATTAACCTTTCAATTCATTCCAATTACATGCTGATAGCATAAATTAGCATTACCGCTAATGGACTTTTCCTTTTCAAGAAAATGAAACTATTCATATTATAATCTATATATTAACAATAATTTTAATTAGAGATCAGTTCGTGACCAATAACTTATCCGATTTTAGAATTCAATTTTTTTAATTAATCTCTTTTTAACTGGCATAATTTTGTAATTGTAAAGAGCTACAAATTTATGAGATATTAGATTGTCCGAGGTTTTGCAAAGTATGTTGTAATATATCTTTTCTTCAATATTTTTTTTTTTAAGAAAGCAAGTTCGGAATCAAAATAAATCAGATTGGACTCATATAGTCCAGTCAAATGAAAAACAGGAGTGATATATGAACTTTTTGGCATCCAAAAAATTGCTGTGCTAGATTACTGGAGAACAGAATTTCTCCATACAGTCAAGGATAGATTTTGCGAGAGAGAGAGAGAGAGAGAGGCAACGGCTACTCAAAGTGGAAAGTGACAAAGTGTGGTAATTGGGAGGTGATTATGTTGGGATGCTATATATCACTTTTTAACGGGAAATTAGCATGGGAGAGGGTGGTGATACTGATAAAAAAAGGATGAAATTTTGGAGCGATCGATTAAACTTTATCTTAAATTCCCTAGTTCTTTGAAAAAATTCCTTTGGTCTAATCAATTCAATTGATGATCATACTTTTTTTCCTTTCTTTTGTTTTATGTATTAAATATCCTACTACTACTGTTTAACTTTCTTTCTCTGCTTTTGCTTCGGGTCTGAACAATCTGTGGCCCATATGAAATCATGTATCTGTTGACAGCCGAGATAAAGCTAAGCACATAATCATAATTGCACCTTGTTGTATGCTAAGGTTAACTGCTTTTTATTTCTTAGTTGTTTAAGCAAAGATAGACCAGTTTTGTAGTAAAGCTAATCATTGGCTACCCACACAACAAGATCGACAAAGATAGACTGGTTAACGTTTTGGTGCTCAACGCCACTTCATAGAGATCATACCATGCTCTTCACATTTTCTTTTCTAGCTAACATGATCTTTTGAAGAAAGGAAGGAGAAAAATCTATCAACGATAATGAGTTCATTGCCACTTGATCCAATTCTAATAAAGCAAAGTTCAATTGAATGGTTTTTCTATTTCGATGTGCTTAAACCTAGTTTTATACTAACTTTAACTCATCCTCATAAATGAAAGCAAATTGAACTATAAAAACATCCAATTTTACACACACATAACCCCCCACCCAAAAAAAGAAAAAGAACTAATTATAGTAATTAAGACTTTTTCAATATAGTTATTAACATAATGTATAATAAAAGGCAGTCTGCACTCTTACCAATAAATTTTTGTTTGCGAAAATCTATCAACGATAATGATTTCATTGACACTTGATCCAATTCTAATAAAGCAAAGTTCAATTGAATGTTTTTTTAGTATTTTGATGTGCTTAAAACTAGTTTTATACTTAACTTTAACACATCCTACTAAATGAAAGTAAATTTAACTATAAAAACATCCAATATTACACACACAGAACCCCATAAAAAAAAAAGAATTAATTATAGCAATTAAGTATTTTTCAATATATTTATTAACATAATGTATAATAAAAGATAATCTTATTCTTACTAATAAATTTTTAGTGATGAGTTTGTCTTTAAGCGAATTTATTGTTAATATGTATAGTTTAGATTTTGAAATAAATTTTATTATTTTTGTTCACAATATAATTAGATTTATTTTCAATATAAAATAAGGATACCCAGGTCATATATATTCGTGGTTGGCGAGTCAATCCCCCACAAAGGTTTATATGTTTAACATGCAAATTTGATACATTTACAAATCATGCTTGACAATCATAACATGAGGGATATGAGCAAAAGGACTTTTCCTATTTAATTAGCACGGTTTTGGTAACGTGGTGCATTCCATTATGTTGGTTCACCGCCTTTAATTGCATTTAGGCATAATAACTGTTGGAGGTTCGTGGATGCACCAAAACATGCAATCCTAACATCAAAGGAACCTTTTAAGATCAAAATCACAAACACATCGATCCAACTAAGGCTAGATTCATTTTCTCTACCTAAGCTAAGCTTAACACATACACACGAATTCACGAGCTATCCGAGCCTTAAAGTGAACTTTTCCTAGTGCGAATGTGGTTGAGAAGTTACTATATACTTGCATCTACACCCAACTTTTAAATTAATGACATAAAAAACAAAGAGTTCTTGCATACAACAAACTGAGACATAATTGGGAACAGTAAAATCTCACATACTTTTAGAAAGGCATTGCCGGATTCACGTGGCATTCACCTTCAACTGTCCAAACACCCAACTTATTACCTATATAATCCATCAAACCACTTACTAGCTAGCAAAAGGATGAGGACGAGTAACTTATCCTCATATAAAATTATTCAATGGCTAGCTTAGTGTCCGATCATAAAATCATAGCTCAAATATTGTACGTAAATGTTGATGAGTCGAAAGAACAAGTCCAGGCAGAAAAGGACTTGCGAGGTATAAAAAAATGTGTAATATTACCTTGTATGTCTAAAAAAAAAACATGGAGGTAACATGCATGTACATGTGTGTGTTGACGAGGACAGAAACACAGGTGGTAATTACTATTTGGTGGTTGGGAAAGAGCCCATAATAGGTACTAACAAAAAGCAGGCAACGGCCGGCAGTTTGATCGCAACGTTATTTTGACTATGGATTCACATGGTGGCATCCTTTTGGCAATTCCCTCGTTACCGTTGCCAACCTCTGTGTCCGGTAGTAACTGGTAATTTTAATTGGAATCGAGACTTCTTCAGAAGAGGGACACTAATCCTACTTTAGCTACAAATTATTAATTGTAACGGAACTTTTTTATACTAAGAAGTCTTGTAATTCCTCCTCAGTTGCCCAAAACATTTTGTACAAGTCTTTTTTTTATTATTATTATTGGATTTGATTACTTGAAGTTTAAGATATAACAAGTTGGTACAGTAAATTAAAGTGACAATTACATATACAGAAGGGATACTAAAAAAATTTTAATACATTTATATATATTGGAAGTAAGAAACTTAATTGCTCCTCAAGGGATACATTCATTTTGAGATTATCAATTAACAGACAAATTTTTATTTTTCTGTCGAATAATTTAACTTTCAAAATATTGGTGGTCTCACGTGTCGAAGCGAATTGTTTCTCATAATTGAACAGCCGACTCTGAAAGTTAACGGTTATTTTCTCAGACTAATCACATGATCATCGAAACGCTAATTAATTTTCCTCCAAAAAATAATCAATCTCCCTGAGAATTTCAGAAGAGAACCTTAAATATATACTTCATTTTGACTAGAAGGAAGCCAAAACATGTGAGGTTTGCCTTGATTTTCGTTATCCGATCAAGGAAAAATGATAGTTTTGAGTTAGATTCTTAATCATTAGGTCGGTAAAGATGGAAATCGTCAACTGTTGACTTTTTTATAAGCTCTTCATAATATATATATATATATATATATGTATATAGGCCGTTGTAACATCAATCGTACGTACATACACACCACTGTAATTAATTGAATACATGCCCACTTGCGGCACCTTAATTAGATTGGAAGTAATAAAGTCAGTGACTTTTCTATGCTACTCATAAGTCATATCTCTGGTATGAAAGTCTTTCCTTAATTAATTGGGACATTTCTAGGTGTGTATGGGCCACAAGCATAGACATTTACTGACCAAATACATACTAGATTTTTTGAAATCTTTACCCTAACCACTTTGTGGCTAGCTGTCTGGCAAGGTAGAACCGGAGGTAGACTTTAAAAATGTGGAAATAACTTATATCAGGGGTAAATTATAAATTGGTCCCTTTTATTTTAAAAAATAAATAAATTAGTCCCTCTCATTTTAAAAAAATTAATTATTTAATCTCCATGTTTTTAAATACACTTGTAAATTAGTCCTTTTTGCTTCTTTTTTTAGTTTATTTTTTTTAGGAAATAAAAAAGGAGAAAATATGGAAATGTTGATGAGAAAACAAGACATTTTATGAGATAAATATAATATTAAATTAAGCATAGTCAACACTAGTCAAATGATTAAATAATAGTTTTTGAAATGAAGGGGATTTATTAAATTAAGGAGAAAGGGGATTGATTAATTTATTTCTTGAAACTAGAGCGATTAATTTATAATTTACTCCTTACACTACAAGAAAACCAAAAAATAGTGATGAATTTTCGGTCGCTATATTGTCCATTTTTGTTGCTATTTATCCTTAGCAACGATTTGCAATAATATAATTTCAATAGCAAATATGATCGTCATTATTTTCTCGGAGATAGAATTTGTTTTTCATCTAGATCGTTGCTAATGCGTAGAATTTTTATCATTAAACCAAAGTAAACATTCGTCTCTCCGGTATGTTATTTGTCGTAAAATCATCGCTAATTGGTTATTTTTGTTACTAAATAGAGACGAAATCGTCGTTGCTAAATCATACGCGCTAAAATTTTTTGTAAATCTATTGCTATTTAACGATCGTATATGTGTCTATCGCAAAGAATTGTGTTTTTTGTCGCTAGCTCTATTGCTA